GCATAGAAGTAAAGAAGCTGAGATGCAAAGCCATCATCTGCAAGCCGTGGCTGCAGCCACAAATCACAGGGCAGCTCTTATTCCTGCATAGTGCAGAAAGCATCGTTCATCGTCCATGATTTTATTTATGTCCAAATGCAGAGGAAGCAATCTTCATCACTGGCATCATTGTTGAATATCAAGGGTCACACCACATTTTCATCAACATAATTGGATGTTAGCTTGCAAAGACTATAGAGTTAATACTTAAAGGACAATTTATATATTGGGCAAAAAGAATAGTGCTTTTATACTGGTTACTTTTTCCTCTTTGGTTTATTCTCTTAAAAACTGTCCATATTTAATGCAACAGTTTAATTTTTAAGGTAGGTAAATCCATATTTCTATTATCTATTTTGAGTTTAATACAAGTAGATTTTAGAATATTGATGATCATGTATGTGAGGAAAAAAGCACATCACTTCTTATTACTACTGACTACTCACTTCACTTAAACAACTGCTTTTTTAACAGGATTCACAGGAAACTCCTTTTAAAGGCAAACCTCATTAAAGGCATATTTTCTCATTACAAAAAAACTGTTTTAAAGGTCCTGTGGCTGTATTTACCCATTTACCTTAGTTTCTAGGTATAAAATACCAGCTGAACTGCTTGTTTTGTCCCCTTAGCTAAAATGGAAAAAAAAGTAAGAAATATTACAGGTTTTATTACTTTTTATCTGTTGTTTTAAAAATTGTTGTAAAAAAACCCCTGTGTTTGAGATTCTTAGTTCAGAGTCCAAACTTTACAGAAGTTATAACTGGATATGGAAAAAAAACTTCAACTTTCTGGGGTAACTTGTCCTAAATATAAAAACAAAAAAAATAAGAGACAGGAATTTATAAGCAAAGGAGAATAGAGTATTAAAACAACCATCTGTTGAGTTCAGGACAAATACAAAGTCTGTACTTTTTGCCTAAACCATCTACATGTCTGTACCACCCCTCCACTTTATTTTCCCTACAGAAACCTGACCTAAACTAAACAACTATTCTATATCATTAAGTTGTCCAGGAAGATGAAAGTTTATATGTCAGACAAGCTGCAGCATCTGGTGCAATTCGGTAATGATGGTCTCTTCCAGAGAGCTTCAACTCTTAGAACTGAAATGTAGTTAACCTATGTAAAGAAAATAATGTTCTAGTCATACATTCTCCCTGTTTACAAGTACTAATATTTTCCCAATCCTCTCCCATTGTAGGAAACATACAAAATAAAATTCTGATATGAAACATCTCACTATATCCTTAATTCCATTTTCTTGCAGCCAAATATACAGCCAATGATGAGCACAGTTACCCTTTCACTATAATTGTTTAAAATTATTTTCACACTTCCTTTTTTCAAACATATTGATTAGCCCTAGAGGTTTCACCCTACAGTGGGGAATAATGTCTTACAAAATATTGCTTAAGAGTGCTACATAAAATTTAACAAGTTTAGATGCACTCTTATAGTTTGTTGATATGAGAACAAATTCTCATTTGTTTAAATTTTCTGTTTAAAATAGCATATAAGCTTAGATATATGAGATGGTTTACAAGAAGGTTGGAAGTGATCACAGTGACATTTGTTTATGTCAATAGCTGCCTTCTAAACAGCACTACAAACCAGATTTACACACCTTTCAAAATAGAAATTAATCAAATTTAAATGTGTTGTTCTTTATCAATAGACTGGGAAAAAAACTTGCAACAAATATGACAAAGTTGTGATATCTTTATTATGCAAACACGTCACACACAGTAATAAAAAAACACAAAGAATCCAAAAGATAAGGCCAAGGACATAAAAAGACACATTGGAGAAGATAATCTATTGTTTTTTATCTCACTAACAAACAAAAATGCAAATTAAAACAACAGTAGAATACCATTTGACTCATCTTACCAATGATTTTTTTTATAAGAATGTTCAATTCTGGCAATCAGTGTGGTCACAAGGCAAATTAATATATTTTTTTGAAAATAATGCATCAAATATTCATACCTTTTAACCCAGTAATTCCATGTTTGTTTCTACCCCAAAGGAATAATTCTAAGCATTAAAAAAGCTATAGGTACAAGATGTTAATTGCAGCATTATTTATAATATTGAAAAAAATCGAAAACAACCTAAATACATCAAAGCAGAGTAATGATTAAGTACATTAAAGGGCATTAATAGACAGCTGTATGGAGTATTTTACTGAATTTTAAATGCTGTTTAGGCTTGTTCATAATAATGTGGGGCAATGTTACCAGGTAATGTTAAGTGAAAAGAACAATATATATTATATACATTGTAACCCTACCACTCCATATGGAAAAATTCTATAAAGACATGAGGATTTTAAAATCTATTATTTTCAGTATTTTACAGATTTTATTTAACTTGCAGTTTAATGTTTTCCAATACATTTTAAAATGTCACGTTTTTACTCAAAGCACTTGCAAATGGATTGCCTTGTTTTCAAAACACTTCTCCCTAAAGCAAACCCTGTGCTTGGAAAGATTTGTGAAATATCATAATACCTATTATAAAAATCTCAAATTATTTTATTCATTATCATTTTTGTTATAAGTGTAGGGAATCTTCTACATATGTGACTAGGCAGCTGAAACATGTAGGGAGCAGATCCAGGCAGGGCTCTCTCAGCATCCACATTCACTCTGCCCTTAGCCCCTTCAGAAACCACAGCTGCTCCTAGCACCTGTGAATATACTGCCCTTATAAACCCTTGGCAGCAGAGGGAATGTTATGATTGTTTCTAAGATTTCAGAGACAACTAAAACCAATTTCTTTTTTCCCAAAATGGGGGCATCAAAAAGGAGCCATTCATCCAAGTACGTTTATTCTGTTTCCAAAAAAGAACAAATTCTTAAGAGGGCAGAGATCGGGTTTATTTTTATGATGCATACATTGCCTATTTCAGTTAGATTTTATAAATCATATCCTTTGCAGCATCTACCCTAGGGCAAAGGTGAACCAACATTCCATTCTTTTAGAAAGAAATACCATGTGTTTTCCCCCTCCCCCCACCTCAAATCGCTCTTTGCAATTGTGGTCACAACTTTTACATTTTAATGTAATACCGACCCATTTCCTAAAATCATAGTGAAACACAGGGAGAGAGAGAGAGAGAGAGAGAGAGAGAGAGAGAGAGAGAGAGAGAGAGAGAGAGAGAGAGAGAGAGAGAGAGAGAGAG